GAAGAGGATGAAGAGGATGCAGCAGAGGAGCAGAAGATGCTGAAGACGAGAGCAGAGAGCCGGAATCGCAGACGGCTTCAGCGGCCGAGACGACGATGACGACAGCAGCAACGGCAACAGCAAGGTTCAGACTCTTTAATCGATATGGTGTGTGTGTGTGTGTGTGTGTGAGTGTGTGTGTGTGGGGGGGGGGGCTCGGCAGGTGGTGGCAGCAGCAGGAGACGCTCTCTGTTATCAATAGGCTCCTTTGACACAGATGGACTCTTCTGAATCCGCAATGAAATGAATCATTTGAAATGGTTTCCATTTTAAGGCGATCGCGATTCGACTGGTTCTGAGCGACTTCATCCAACTTTCCTCCTCTGGTTCTGATGTCATCAGAAGGAATCATCCGTCATTCCAGCTCCTGCTCCAGGATCCAAGCAGCTTCCAACTTCACACACACACACACACACACACACACACACACACACACACACACACACACACACACACACACACACACACACACACACACACACACACACACACACACACAGCTCCGTCAGTGTGTGAGCGCGGCTGTAGCTCTTCCTCTAACAAAGTTCCCCACAGGAATCAGCAGGACGTCTAAATTTAGTGCTGCTGTCCAGAGACACAAATGTTGAAGTTTAGTTGTTCAGCTGCTGGGTTTATGGAGCTTTAGTCATTTAGAACTAAATATCAGACGGGATTCGATGGGAAGATGGTTGTTCATTATTCAATTCAGTTTATTTAAGACTTCACAGCGAAAATCATCTGAAGGAAAATCATCTCGGTTCAATCAGAGATTCTGATTGGTTCCAGTTAATCTGTTCAGAAAGATCAATTAGTTCAGCACCGCTCCTCCTGACCAGCAGGAGGCGCTGGCATTATGTCATTGACTTTACAGCAATCCCTCATGCTGAGCATGCATGTGGCGACAGTAGAGAGGAACAACTCCCTGTTAACAGGAAGAAACTTCCAGAACCAGAGCCAGAACCGGGCTCAGTACCAGCAGCCATGACTGACTGCAGATTAGAGATGACAAAGCAGAAGACGAACCAGATGATGTTGGGTTATTTCTGATGTTCATGAAAGTAAAACACTAACAGCAGAACCATCAGAGTGGTGGCAGCATCATGGCAGCCGACGCCTCAGGAAGGAACCAGCCAATCAGAACGCAGACCAGCTTCTAACCGTCAGAACAAACAAAACCTGCAGCCTGGTACCAAATGGTTCTGGTTGGAACCTGTAGACCAGTCAGGTCTCTGATGGATCTGGTTATTGAGGTTTTCTATGTGAAATTAAAATCTGGATTGTCAGCAAGCTGTGAATCGAAACAGTGGGACCTGATCTGGTTCTGGTTTCCATCAGAACTCTGCTGCAGCGTTTTGGATCAGATGAAGGATTTTAACTTCCTGATAGTGAAGAGTTCAGCCTGAAGGAACAGGTTTGTGGATTAGATTATGGATTATCAGCTTCACTGCTGGACAGGATGTTTATCATTTAGGCAACAGCCCAGAGATTAAAGCGGGAATTTGTAGAACAAGCTGGGATGAAATGACATTTCCTGGTTAAAATCACTCAGAGGGTCTTTACTTTATTACTGGAGGATGATTTAATCCCAGTTCAGCGCTAAACCAAGGAGCCAAGCTACCTCTGGATAACTCCCCTTTCTGACTCAATGAGGAAAAAACACAATCAGTTAGAGAAGGACTAAAGATTAAATGACTCCCTGAGATTCAGAGGAAAGGAAACATGGAGGAGATTCCTTGAAGGTTTTTAAAGCTTCAAAGATGCATCCAGATACTAATTGATCTGGGATTGATTTGTCTGATAAAGATCTGATCATGACATTTTCTCTCAAGCTTGAAATACTCAACATGTCTAAATTACCATCACAAGCGAATTCTCCGAATGAAGCCAATCGAGTCTCAGCTAGCTTTAAAAGCTACATTTAATCGATCACCCTCAGAGTCAACATGAATGTTAAAGTCGCCCAGTATAATGATTTGATCAATATTTACTCAAATAAATCTGAGATCTGATCTAAAAAGTGAGAGTGAGAGGCAATTTGGGATCTCTTTCCATCAAGTCAACAGCTTTCCATGAGCTTTAATGGTTTAATGGGTGATGTCATCAGGCTTATTCATTTTAAGCTGATTTCACTGTTGTGAGTCGAATTCTGCAATCAACAGGACATGGTGTGTTGTAGAAAAGCAGCTTATTTGTTAGGAAGTTTCAGCGTCTGAAGACTATTTTCATGCATAAAAGCAGATTTTTAGGAAGGCATCCATAATGTTTCTCTGCTTTGTTTCTTCCTCATGCAGGAGACGTTAATCATCAAACAGCAGCAGAATGAGAGGAGCAGGTCCGACTGGATCCGTTTCCTCGTTTCTTCTCCCTCTTTCTGTGGCTCTGAGGCTGACAGACCAAAGTTTTGCTGGAAAGACATTGAACTGGCTCTAATCAGGCTAACGGAACAATAAAGACGCAGAATAAATACAAATTCTGTCACAATGTGAGTAAAGTGGAAGAGAAGATGAGCTTTCCAGTGGAAATGAAAAACTGTTTTCAACCTTTTGGAATCTGATTGGAATATTTCTCCAAGTCGGATTGTGTTTGGACATCAGGTTGGTCGTAGTGTCCTCATGTCCTGGAGCCTTTGACAGAAGGATGTTCCCAAACTTAGAGTCTGTTGACTTCTCATGAAAACAGCAGGAATATTTCTTAGTTCTCCACTGGAGAACAAGAAGGATTTTGTAAAAGGCGTCTCATTCCTGCTTTTATGGTCTTTCTGGAGACTGAAGCTGCACATCCTGGACAGTCAGTAGTGGTTAAAAAACCAGTTCTGCTCTTATTTTGTTAATTAAAGACTTCACAATTCACTCTTCAAGCTTTAGACGTGCCTCCCACCAACCCCCTGCACCAACCATGGGCAAGCCTCTCAGCCGCCCTGGGTGTTTCAGGAAGAGCTCCTGCTGCCTGGAGAAACATGGACTTGGGGATGGGGGAGTGGGAGGGCGGGACGTTGGGATGGAAGGGGGCTATGGCGATGGCTACATCCCTCAGCGATCCATTTATGACACCATGTGCATCAATCAGCAGATTGACAGCCACCACCACCACCACTCCAGGGGCTCGGTGAGGCGGGACGGAGGAGGAGACGGGAGCTTCAGCTATTCCACCAGCGGCTCCCTGAGAGTCAGCAGGTCAGACATGTTTGATCCACAGCCACGCTCCTTAACTCCAAATCCTTCCTTTGTTCGGCGCCTGGATGAGAGAGCCATCTACGATTCCCTCAAGCTGGGAGCGGAGGACAGCTCTCCAGGACATTTCAATCGATCCGTGTCTCCCTCTGTGTCTTCCTTTTCGGCTCCAGGAGTGTCCTCCTCATCAAAGAAGCACCACCATCACCACCACCCTCACCATGCAGACGGCACAAAGAGCAGAGAGAGTCGGCATTCCTGGAAAGCAATGTCATCTCCTAAACCCTTGGAGTGTGTGGAGATTCCTCCAGTGGAGCTGCTAGAGCGTGGCGGAGGCAGCTACCTGAATCCAGGCCACTACCCAGGACCGGGTCAGTCCTCCTCTCTAACCTCCCCTCTCATCTCACCCTTCTCCGGCTCGCCTCTCTCCTCAGGATACCACACTCCGGTGTTCTTCTCCCCGGCCAAACCTCGCCCCAGTCAGAGCCAGAGCCTGCGCTGTTCTCCTCCCCATGTGATGCAGCCCAGGCATTACTCCCAAACCCAGAGCCTGAGGCTGTCCCCCCCCCAGGAGCTCAGAAGGTCCCCCTACAGGACTGCGCTGGTCCAACTGTCTGCCCATGAGCTGGAGCAAGACCTGAGTGAGCGAGGTGGTGGATGGGGCCGCAGCGAGCGCGACAGGGACTGGGAGAGGGAGCGGCAGCGAGAGATGGAGCGAGGTTGGGCCCAGCGCGAGTGGGAGAGAGAGAGGGAGAGGGGCAGACTGGAGAGGGAGAGGGCCCGAGAGAGAGAGAGAAGGGAGACATCCACTTTTGGGACGTTTGGTTATGGCCGACCAGTTCCTCTACGCTCTGACAGAGACTCGGTGTTTATAGAGTCTGAACACGGCTTGGACACAACTCCTCTGCTTCTCCCCCAGCCTTCCCCCTCTCCTTCCCCCTCCCCTAGCGGCGCTCCCAGGATGGGTACTGGAGCAGTGGGCAGGAGCCGAGCTGGGTCAAAGGTCGGCCCAGAAGGGCTTGGTGGAGGGATGCCGCCGAGGTGTGACAGTGGGAGTGTTAGTTTAGTGTTGGTGGACGGTAAACCTGGTTGTGGGCCCAGATTAGTCAGCGAAGTCTTAATGCCAAACATGTCTGAGGTGGAAATGAGAGCATTAAATCAAGAGCACCATCGAGCCGAAAGCTGGAACAAATATGATGACGGATCCAGATCCAGTGTGAAGAACCCGCCTGAAAAGAGGATTGGCTCTCAGGTGAAAACTCGACCAGGAGGTCGGGATTTGGAGGGAAAAGTGCAGTCAGGGACAGAGAATAAGGAGGGACATAAAGGGACGTCCATCAAAGCTGGCGGAGCTACAAGTAGACAAGAGCATTTACCTGAACACTCAGGCATGACTGTCACTGAGAAGATTGTTGGTCCTGCAGACAAAGTTCAAGTTGAAGCTGCACCTGTTGCTAAAACCAAGCCAGAGCTTGGTCACTTCCAACAGCCAGAGAACAAAGTTGAACCTGAATCACAGTCTAATGTTGATTCAACATCTGCATCCAGTGTAGAAGCTAAAGCTGATGCTGAGATTGCTCTTGTTTCGAAGCCAGAAGCAGAAACTAGGATCAGTAATGGAGAAATAAAAGAGAGTGAAACTGACAATCAAGCTGAAAGTACAGGTGAACTTCAGGTAAGGTCAGTGGCAGCAGATAAACCTGAAGCTGCTCCTGCAGATCAAGCAGAGCAAAAGCTCGATGATTCTGGTAAATCCAAGTCAGCTCATGCTGGGAAAAGCTCAAGATCCAAGTCCAAATCATCCAAGTCCTGCTCCAGGTCTCGACCAGGTACAGCCACTGGGCTGCGTCCGGGAGTACTGAGCCCCCGAGAAAGCAAACAGCTGGAAGACTTTGAATCAGCTGGACCACCTGAGGACATCGAGTCCACCTGGCCTCGCAGAATCATAGTCCGAAAGAGGACTGTCCGCCAGGGAGGGGCCCTCCACAATCTTCCCATCCTCCCCCCACTCCCTTCTGTCTTGTCAGCCCTGGAGAAGAGGCATCCACACCTACGACATGGTTCAGAGAACCCATTATCAAATCTGATGAACCCTATTATAGGGCGATGCTCACTGAGAGAAGCCGCTCACCCAGAGCCCGTACAGGGGAGCGGTTTGGTAGGCCGAGCATCCCTCAGGGAGCAGAACTTGGAGCACTGGAGAGTCTGCAGAGAGCAAGAGGAACACAGGAGGTCCAGAAGTCGGGAGAAACGAGGAGGGGAGAGTAGGAACAAGGCAGAGAAAGAGGAAAGCAAAGGAAAGGAGGAGAAGAGAGAAGAAACCCTGACAGATGAGAAGGTAGTCGTGGAGGAAACCAAACAAGATAAAGCAAAGATAAACGCGGAAGAAAATCTCCAGACAGATAAAAACAAGGAAGAGGAAAAAGAGATGGATGAAGAAGTAAAGCCTGAACGAGTGGAAGATCGAGGGATAAAGATTAAAATTGGTCCAAAAGAGGAGGTAGAAGCAAAACTACACACAGAGAAACTGGAGGTGGGTGGCCAACAGGGAATAACTGCTGGAGAGGAAGGAGGGGTGGAGGGTTGGGATGCGGTTCTTGACATGGTTAACACTCTTTGGGATAATGACTGGGAAAAACGGGAAGCAGGTGGAGAAGAAGGAGGAGATCCAGATTCCCCTACAGGCTCCTTGCAGCGATGGCCTCTCCTCAGGCCACCCCTCGGCTTTGGGGGCTCTCATCCTCCCTCCTCAGCAGCCTCAGAGCTCAGTCTGACGGAGTTGGAGAGGAGGGCCCGGGAGTTGGACTCAGACCTGGAACACCTGGATCTTTCGCAGCCCCAACGGGAAGTGTACCAAGCGCTACTGGAACCAGGAAGGGAACGAGGCGACATGTACCAAACACATCCCGGTCCACAAAGAGACAAAGCTCCCCTTCACACAGGTACTGCAGATGTAACATATCTATGGTTGAGTTCAGTCTTCCTATGTTTGACATAATCTGTTCTGTTTAGCCTTCATTTAGCTGAAATGAAGATCCACTCAAGGTTCACCTTCATTTCAGTTTGTTGTCATCTCAATGCACTTTACAAGACTAAAGGTCCCACATTCTTGGGCTCACCGAGCAAATTCTGTCAGATGCGCTTAGACAAGGTTCTTCTCCACCAGGGCAGCAACTGGACAGAGCCGCAGCCCAAGATGCTGTGCATCCTTCATCTAGTTGTGCCAACACTCAAACGTATCTCAGTGTTGCATACTAAACGGTTCAATGTGAACACCATTTCCCACCGACACTGGGTCATGATAGATACCTTGTGTTTGGCGGACTTCAGCCCTAAATCCACATTGACTCCTCCGCTAATACGCGCAGATATTCCTTGGAGTGAAGCATGCCTGAGTATGTGGAACCCTTAACCTCATATCTCATACAGATCCATGAAATGGTAATTGTAAAACAACCAAATACAGTAGATTATTAGTGGCAGGTGATAAAAAGTTCTCAAGAAATGCAAGAAAGCACAGTCAACTGACTCAGCAAGTCGTCCTGAGAAAGCATGAGGTAACAGTAGGAAGGAGTGACTCCCTTTATGCCATTCTGGCCAAGATGGTGACACAGAGAAAAACTAGAACAAACTCATGTTTCAATTAAAGCTTTTAAAATGACAGAAATATTCTCTGGTTAGTACCATCTCCCCCAGGTACCCCGCTACCCTGAAAAGGGGCTATAGACAATGATTGAATGGATGGATGTAGATACTGATTGATCTGGGATTGACTAATCAACCTGACTAAAGATGTTTGCTGGAGAAATAAGAACATTTATATAATTGAAAGGTGTTGAATTAGTAAATACTAATGTAATCATCCAAATAAATAAAATATATCAACCTGATTGCAAGTCACGTCAATAATTAACAGTCTGAAGAGACAAATCTGATCATTTCATTCTTTGATTCAAAAGTTGCTTCTTTGTGATCATTAGTCAAATAGCAAAACATCACACAAGAGCTAATGTTTTCTTAATTACAATACATTTTTCTATTGATTAAATAAATAAACAGACATCATTTGTAAAATGATATTCAGCATTTTCTACCTAAGTTTAAACTGGACATTTGAGGCTTTTATGATATTGCTGTTCAACTACATGGATCAGATAACCCTAACCCTATAACCCTAACCCTATAACCCCAACCCTAACCCTATAACCCTAACCCTATAACCCCAATCCTCACACTGCAACCATGTTGGAGAAAAAGTTCTGCATTTAAACAGTTTCTGTTTTCATCCTCCAACTAAACAAATTATGTATTGATAACACCTCCCTTCCTAATGATGCATAATTAACCACGGTGACTTTTTGGATCAATATCATGTTGCCACAGCAACAACGTTTCTCCTGCCAGTTTGCGTCATCACAGCAGGGATAGCCTCAGGTTTCTGAAAGTTTATTCTGTAAAGCAGAGAACAAGGTTCTCTAGCAGATCCAGAACCAGAACCTACCTGCCAGGGTCAGGCTACAAATATTTTAGTAATCGAGTGATCTATCGATTATTCTTACGAGTAATAGTCATCTGATAAAAACCATCAAAAAATAAAATATTGGTAAATCTAGTATAACAGCAAAATTACTATCGCATTTCAACATCAGTCCAATTTTTCATATTTGAGTTTCCTTAACATTCACCTTTCTGTAGTTGAGAAAATTAACCTGTAACAATGACAGCTCACTTTCTAAGAAAGAAAAGTTATCCAAAAATTATATTCAATTTCACAATAAAGAGGCAGACTCACAAAAAGCTGATATGTCTGATCCAGCTTTTAATTTATGTATTCATCTCCAGTCCATCTGTCCATCTGTCCATCTGTCCGTCCGTCTGTCATTTGGTCAGGGTTCTACTGAAACCCATCAGGTGAACCCTGAGCTGTCTGGTTCTCATGTGTCTCCTGCTTGCTTGTGCTATCAGGCGTTAGCAGCAGATCCCAGGTCAGTCTGGAGCTGAATGCGATGACACCGACCGACACCGACAGGTCAACTAGTGACTGGTCGACTAAATCTCCCAGCACCCCCACTGCTGGACCGAGGTAATTCCTGAACAAAGATTGTTTTTGTTAGTTACTGTCTGATATATTTCTTCATAAATGTTTTCATCTTGCATTGTTTTGTATTTTTTTTAATTAGAATTTTGGAATATTGATTTCTCACACTGAAAAATTCAGAAACATATGGAAGCGAAACATGGAGCCTTGAGGCACACCACAAATTTAGCTGAAAGGTTCTAATGGTGTTCTTCAAAGAGTATTCTTCTCGGATTAATTTTGAACATGCTTCACTTCTGACATAACCAGGCTTTTCAGTGTTTTCCTGACTGGTCAGTAAACAGTAACATCCACCACTGCTGCAGACTGTGAGGGTCTTGTACAGAAGTTTTAGGTCCGGTAAAGTTCTGGTTCCAGGAGACCTCACTCTTCTGATTAAACACCTGTCTGGAAGTTCCTGATTTGCTGTATCTGCAATGTTTCTGCAGATACAGGAAATAACACTGATGTCAATTGCAATAAGCTACTTTGAAATGATGGGACATCTAAAAATCCCTTCATAACCCTGCAGGAAGAGCTGAGATGAGTCAGCCTGCCGGTTGCTCGAATGGGTCGTCAGAAGCACGATTCATGTTGTTCTGGGAACGTTTATCCAGAACAAAACGAACAATATGACCAAAATGAGCCATGGCTCTGAGAACAGGTGTCAGGAGGAGATACACATATAGGAAAGTCATTGAATGTGCAGCGGTTGGGGAATTACTGCCTGAAAAATGGGCTTGATGTCATCGGCCTCCTGCTAATCGCGCTGCCAGTGGCTAATGAAGGTAGACACATGTCCCAGCCACTCTACAAGCTGCTGCTGATCAGCTATCTGTCTACTGGAGCATGACATCTTTAAGATGGAAGCATGGCCTTGGCCTCACTCAGTCGGTTGGTACTGTTCTGTCGGCCCAGTGGACTCAAAGACTGCTTTGTGTTTTCTCTCCAGCTCCTTTAAGGAGGACAGCTCTCCGGACTCCAACCTGACACTGGAGTCAGACTCCAGCGGCGTCTTTCTTTCCTTATCCAATCAGAGCCAAGACGATGGCGGCTCTGACAGCGACCAGCCAATCAGTGACTCTGAACTGGGCAGCAGCAACACTTCGCTAGAGAAAGATATGGATGACGGAGGCTTGAAGGAGTGGGGAAGGGAGGAGAGCTCCGAGCTCCAGTGGTGCTACCCTTCACTGCTCAACACGCCGTCCTACGAAGACGTGGACGGACACGGCGGCGGTGATGACTCAGGGTGTGGAGATGCCGGCGTGGACCAGGACGACCTTTCAGCAGAGCAATTTCACATGAAGACTTCGTTCACTGCCCCCCAGAGGCAGGAAGTGCCGGCCAGGAAGAAAGTAACCGTAATGGGCATGGACCCGCCCCTTCCCCTTTCTCCCTCCAAGCAACAAATCAAACGCCTTCTAGATCCGAACCAGAAGCCACTGAGAAGCTCAGGCCTGGACTGCGGGGACGTGGATCCCTTCGTCCAATCAGATAGCTTCGTCTATCTGGCCGTGTCTGCAAGACCTCCGCCCACAGGTGAAACCGGCGGACTTAAAGAGATTTCTACCCATGATGCAAAGCAACACACCATCCAGAAACAAGCAGGAAGCACCGGAGCTGAGCGACCCACCACGGACCCCAAGATGGCTGCCATCGCGCCTCAGAAACCAGAGGAGGGAGACTTCCTCTGTACCGATAGCTTCGTCTACCT